ACCTCCTGGTCACTTTAGTTTTGCCTTTTCTAGAATCATAAAGAATCGTTCCATGTTTAGTGTTTTGTGTTTGGCTTCTTTCACTTAGCATCGTGTTTCTGAGATTCATTCATAACCTTGCAGGTATCAACCATTCACCACCTTTTCACCGCTGAGTAGTATTGCACTGTGTGGGTGTCCCATGGGGTGCTTATCTGTTCACCATCTGATGGACATTTGGGCTCTCCCCAGTTCAGAGCTATAATGAATGATGCTGTTATCAACATTTGTGTACAAGTCTTTATGCAAACATGTTTTCACTTCTCTTGGGAAAATACCTAGGAACCTGGTCATCTATGAGGTCAGAGAGAAGAAGCGACTTGTCTAGGATCCCAACATAGGGAGGGGCTGGGTTCAAAGTCTGAATGAAGGTTTGGCACTGAAGCAGTTTGCCCAAGGGAAGGAAAGAGCCTGTCTTCCAGAGAATAAATGTTCACAATTCCCATTTCCCTCTTTTCCTCCCAGTTCAGCCATCTAACTCCCCCCCTGCCCTGGCTCTGAGGTCTTCATCACCAGGCTGTCTGAGGTATGGGAGTCCCCATCATCCACCATCAGGGATAAACAAGATTTGACAGAAACAAGAGGTAACAGTGGACAGACTGAAAATGAGATAGCTGGACAACACCAAGGGCAGGGCAACCCTCGTACACACACGGTGGTCGCGTGGGGGGACACAGCCATTTGGCAGAGGAGTGGAAATCAAATCAATCCTGTGGGGCGGTGACAGTCACTGACACTTAATGAGCACTTACTATACGCCAGGCATTGTTCTAAGCACCTTACACAGGTTAACTCGTTTATTCCTCACACCACCCACACAAAGTACTATTGCCCTTGTTCCTATTATATGAATGAAGAAACTGAGGCACAGAGAGGTTAAATGGCTTTGCCCTAGGCCAGGCAGCTAGTGATGGAGAGATAAGTCCGCACAGGTGAATCTGGCCCCAGAGATGACCCTCAAACACCATGGCACCTGCTTCTGTGTCAAGCTCTCCTGGGTGTGTTTCCCAGAGAAATTCTCCCACAGGCCCCTGAGAGGCTGTGCTCGATGATGACGAGGGTCTCAGGTGGTTGGTGGAGTTGGGAGCTGGGGGGTGGTCATCTCTGGTGAAGCAGAAAGAAAAAAGAAGGTGGACGATGGGAATTCCCTGGCGGTCCAGTGGTTAGGACCCCACGCTTTCATGGCTGAGGGCCCAGGTTCAATCCCTGGTTGGGGAACTAAGATCCCACAAACTGCGAGGCCAAATAATAATGATAATAATAATAATAACGTAGAGGTAAAAGGCAGAATAGAATAGAAGTCAGTGATTGGAAGCAGCCAGTTAGCTATGTGGTAACAGAGAAAGGAGGGAGAAAGAGGGATACGAAGGGAGGGAGGGAGAAATGGGGTTGGGGGGGAGAGCAGAGAAGCAGAGGGAAGGAGAAGGGGGAGAAAAGCAAAATATATTCTTCTCCAGTCTACCCAATGAATATGAATGTATCTTTCTGGGGAGTACGTCTATAAAATAAATTGGTAATTTGTCAAATATATTCTTGGTGTTTTTCATGCTTCCATTGAGATCGTGGGATGGCAGCATGGTGGGGGGAGGGGTCCCCATCTGACCTCAGCCTCCCCCCAGCTCCCCCATAGGTCCAGGCCTCATTTTTCCCCACCCCCTTGGGGGAGGCCCAGTCCTTACCTCAGGGGCAGGAGGAAGTAGCTGACATGTCTGGAAGAGGGCTGAGGGACAGGCCATGGAGAATGCAGGACCCAAGCCCGTCCCTCAGACTCTGGACTCAAACCTGCACATTCCTCGCAATCCTGGGTCTGTCTTTCAAATCTCCACCTTCCAGAGAATTCCTTAGCCGCCCCTGGCCCTGACTCTCTTTGAGACTGCACACAGGGCCCACAGGCTCTCAGCCCAAGGCCGCCCTCCTCTGGACACAGGAGAGATGGGGACAGAGTGAAGACACAAAGGCAGGCAGAGATGGGAACAGGCTGATGTAGGGGTATAGGCATAGAAGTGTCAGAAGGGAAAGAGAGACAGAGGAAGACCTGCCAGACCCCTTCTGATCTTTCCAGGGCTGACTGTACCCTTTTCCCAGCAATTTTCATCCTGATGTGAAGGGTCCTGTAGGACTCAGCCACCACCCACCTCTTCAGCCCTGAATTCTGCCACAGCACCAACACCCACCTTTTATTCCAGGAACCCCGACCTCACAAGTTTCCCCAGGTGGCAGCACCCTTCACACCTTCAAGCCTTTGCATGTTCTTCTCCCTCTACAAGGATGCTGTCTTCCAAGAGGTTCCTCTGACCAGCTTCTCCTCGCCCTTTGAGTCTTGGCAAAAATATTTTCTCTGACCACACTGTCCCATTCCCCTGCAGCTTCTGGTCACTTTCTAGGAGTCATGCCCCTCCTATTCCTTGTACCTTTGCCATGAAAATACCTATCACCCTGCCTTGGGACTCTCTTTGCAAATGTCTGAGCTTCACTAGAGCAGAGATTGAGGTTCTTTGATTTTTCAACCCTGAGGGTACAGGCTGTAGACATATTAATCTGATTTAAAACCCTACTCCAGGGGCTCCCCTGGTGGCGCAGTGGTTGAGAGTCCATCTGCCAATGCAGGGGACACGGGTTTGTGTCCCGGTCCGGGAAGATCCCACAGGCCGCGGAGCGGCTGGGCCCGTGAGCCATGGCCGCTGAGCCTGCGCGTCCGGAGCCTGTGCTCCGCAGCGGGAGAGGCCACAGCAGTGAGAGGCCCGCGTACCGCAAAAAAAAAACCCAAAAACCCTACTCCAACACCTCCTGTCTGTGTGACACTGAGCAGGTCGCTCCCCTTCTCTGATCTTTAATTAATTCATCTGGAAAGTAAGGAGGACAAATTCTACCTGATTGGTTTGGAAGACATCAAAGATTCCCTTTGCCTCATGGTAACGAGCATTGGTTCCCTTCCATTTTTATCTTGGATCCTCAATGTTCACCAGAGTTTACACACTTCGAGGCACTAGAATTGTCGATCAGCAGCTAATAATGGTGGTTAATGTTTATCATCACATGTCACATGGCAGGTCCAGTTCATGGACATTCTCAGTGAACTCTCTCAGCCACACTTGGCTGTAGGTACAAATAAGGAAACTGACATGACAGCAAGCCAGGGGAAGTCACTGGTTCTAGGTCCTGTAACACATAACTAATCCACTGTACATTCCCACCTGTAGTGGACACTGTTGGCAGCCTGCCCAGGTCCCCTCAGATTCCTCTTACCAGTTCTGTGCACCCAACACCTGGCTTCTGTGTGCTTTATGCATTAATCATGGCTTTTTATTTCTGTATTTCTGGTGCTTTGACATCTGGGGCCTTGCTGACATTGGAGGGACTGCCCCTCCCAGGGCTAGCCAATTCCTAGAGGTAATAAAGGACTGACATGTAAGTATGCCTTTCACATGCAAAGCAACCAACCCAGAGCCCATACCCCCAACCACTTCCTTTATGGCATTCTATACTTCAGGTCACTATTCACCTGCCTAATCACCCCAGGGCCAAGTTCCAGGCAACTGGGGACAACCCTTACACCCCGGAGCCTGCTCAAATTATTCAAACTAGACAATCCTAAGCTTACCCTGCCTCATCTGTTCCTTCCCAAGGAAACCACAGTAAAGACTCTTGTCCAAGTCTCTCCTCTTCCCCTCTAACTCCTGACTGACCCTGGTGCCCTGCAGAGCTTGGCATGCCCCCTTCCTTTGGGATCTGTGAAAATAACAAACTATCTTTTCAATGGCAGTTGTCTCCCGATCTATTGGCCTCACCATACCTGAATGATAATAGACCTATATTTTAAAACAGTTTGCTGCTAAGGGCTTACCCTGCAACCTTGTTCCCAAGACTGCCCTTGAGCTTGAGGTGCCTGGAGTCTATATCCTGCCCCCTTCTTGTGACCTGTGGCCCATGACTGCCTAGAGGGGTGGTAGTGGCAGGTCTCCAAAGACAGTGCCCAATGGCCACGCCCCCGGTATTCATACATTTGTGTAGTCTTCTCCCATATCGTATTCAGCCTGGGCTACCTTGACTCGCACTAACCAATAAAATGCGGTGGAAGTGACGTTGTGCCAGTTCCAAGCTTAGTCTTTAAGAGACTGGAAGTTTTTGCTTCCTCCCCTAGGAATGCTCACTTTGGGGGGCCCTGAGCTACCATGTGAGGGGTCCAGCTACCTGCTGGAGAAAGGAACCACATGGAGAGGGAGAGCACTGAGACCAAACCCAGAATGAGAGAAGTCCAGATATCCCACAGCCCAGTAGGGTCAAGCCTACTAGCCATCCCTGCCAAGGTGCCAGAGGCACCTGAGTGCGCCATCTGGGATATTCCAGCCCAGTTGGGCCCTAAGAGGACTGCAGCTTTAGTTGACATTACATGGTGCCTCACTGAGCCCAGTCAATCCATGGAATTGCGAACAATCACAGACAGTAATTAAGACTCTAAATTTGGGGGCGGTTTGTTATTCAGCAATAATAAACCCAAAGAGGGATCTCCCTTTGCCTCAAAGGCCCAGTTCCCTTTGCCTCAAGGTGGGAAAGACTCTACCACTTAATTTATCCTGCAGAGCTCCCCATGGGATCAGGCTAATGCTGGGACTTCACCTGAAATCACATTCTAGCTAGTCTTCTCCCCCATTGCTGTCCTGTTTCATCTATTCCTTCATTGGTTTCTCCTGGGAGCATTTCTTTCCCAAGTCATGGATACACAAACCTTGTCTCAGACTCTGCTTCCGAAAGAATCTGACCCCAGATGTGACACATCTGATTTTTCTCATCTCCAATCGGAAGCCAAGGGTCTGGCAGACTATTCTCTCTCCCTACTCTTCCCTGTCCCTCTCCTGCATCCAAAAACCACAGACCACCTTCCAGACCTCCCAGCAACAGGCATCCATCTAGTCAGTGGGATGGGGGAATGAAAGTGGGAACAAAAACATCCATGAGTTCTCTGAGGGAAGCAGCAAGCAGCTTGTTTTGCCCTGGTCAGCAGCAAATGAAACCTCTTTGCCCCCAACCACACAACCATGGAGGGGATCACATGGAGGTCAGGCAGAAGCCAGGAGGTTGGCATGTCAGCAGCAGTACAGGGGCCAGGTGGGCATGAGAGTTGTCTCTGATTTTGTGTCTGTGGTGGGAGGGATTCTGCTGGTTGTTCCAACCCCTCCCTCAGGGAGTCAATCTCTGTGGCCTCTCCACCCCCACCAGTTCACAGTCCCTGGAAATCCCAAAATCCATCACCATGGATCCTCCAGCAGGTCCCACAGCCTGGTGCCACTGGAATCAGATAAGTCAGCAGAGAAAATGCTGGGGGCTGGGGGGCCACAGCCCAGTGGGGGACCCCCACTCAGAGCCTCCAGCCAATCCAAGGAGTCGGTGGGGCCCCTGGGAGAGGGGGACGGGGAGTTCGTGGGGGATGGGAGCGAGGAAGAGAAGACAGATGAGAGGCCTTCAGAGTCCGGGGAGGGGGACAGCAAGTCGAAGGAGCCGGGGAAGTCCAGGGGGATGGGGGGCAGCATGTCTGTAGGGGAAGGAATGAAGTGTGAGCTTAGGAAGGCAGGGATCCGGACCCCAGCTCCCTATTCGTCCTTTCCAGGAGTCTAGGCCCCCAGCGCATTACTCCCTAGGACTCAGGAGTCCAGACACCTCAGGAGTCCAGACACCAACCTATTCCTCCCGCGAACACAGAAGCCCAGAACCTCGGCCCCCTTTCCCCCCAAATCTAGGACTTCGGCTCTTACCCTCAGGCTCCACCTGATCCTCCAGGATGTCATTGATGCCCCGGTTCGGAAGCAACTGTGGACGGGCAGAACTGGCGTGAACCTGGGACTCCAGCCTGATCCTGACTGAGACCCTAGGCCCGCTCCCTCTCACCTGCGCTCTGCGGATCGCTTCCTGCAGCTCCTCCTCCAGCGTCAGGGCTGTCGAGGCTGCTGCTGAAGGGATCGGTACTGGAGCTGGAGCTGGAGCCTGAGCCGGCGATGCAGCCGGAGCCGGAGCAGAAGCCGGAGCCGTCACAAGGGTTTCCGCGGCACGTGGAGGGGGCAGCGAGTGAGACGTTTGACTCGTCTTCAACTAGAACGGCGAAGAGGGCGAGTTCCTATAAGCCGTGCCCACTGGGAGCAACCCTATCCACTCGCTACCTGTGGCTCCACCTCCTGGTCCCGGCCCAGGCCTTCACTCATCCATGGCTCCCTTTGGCTTCGCCCCCTATTCTTTCATTGGCTTCCCTTCCCTTAAGATCCTCCCCCTTTGCTCTTAACCGCGCCCCACACACTTTATTGGCTATTCTTTTCTCGACTTCCCGCCCCGTCCCGCTGTGTCTTCTCCTCATTGGTCCACGCGCGTAGTCCCTCTCTCACCGAGCCCGGCCTCCCAGCGGCTCCCAAAGCCTTGCGCCTGAAGCGAGGCCAGGGAGCACCCGCCGGACCTTCCACGCGCCGCGGCTTCGGCCGCTCGCGGGGCGGGGCGCCGCCGCGCATGCGCTCCAGGAGCATCGACTTGGTCCCAGACACTGGGAGGCCCCGCAGGCGCAGCTGCTGCCGGAGCTCTGAGACCTAGGGAGGGAGGCGGAAAGAGGCCGTGCTAGGCGGGCTCCGGGGCGCAGGTGGCGGGGAGGGGGGGGTTGGAGCTGGACATTTGGAAACCGAGAGAGGAGGGACTGGGGACTCTAGGTCCTGGATCTCCAATAGAGCAGAGGCTGCAAGGTTAGACTTCTGGGTCCCCACTGAGCGAGGGGGCCAGCCTGGGAAGCTACTCCCCAAACTCACCGTCAGCTCCTCCAGTTTCAGAGTCTGAAGTTCCAATTTGTGTGGAGAGGGCGAGGGGCTGGGGACTCCTGGTGGGGAGGGAGTGAGGGGACTGAGCTTCATCCTGGCGAGAGTTGTGAAGGGAAAACAGGTTAGAAGGAGCAGAGAGAAAAGGCATTCTGGAGTCCTCAAAGACGGGCTCATGAAGATGCAGGAAAGCAAGGGACCTGAGTTCTGAAGCTCCGCGAGAACAGAGGAGGCTAGTTCCGGTGCCTGAGAGAAGAGGAACCGCGGCAGGGGGCGGGGGTGGGGAGGAGGTGGCTCAGGCTCTCGGGGATGAGGTCAGGAGTTCTGGGAACTGAAGGAAGAGGGGCCGGGGATTTGGACTCTAGCGTCCTGGGGGAGGAGGGAGCTGGGGGCCTGAACTTCCTAGAGAACAAAAACAGGGGTCATACCTAGGAGGTGGCTGCTGTGAGTTTGTCCATTCCCATGGAGGTGGTCCAGGGGGACCCAAGGCCGACCCTTCAGCCTGGGGGTCTGCCCTGGACCCTTGTCTCGGCTCTGGGGGCATGTACTGGTGGTATGTCAAGTTCTTCTTGGGCTTGGGCTCCCTCCAATGTTGGGAGATCTTGGGAGACTCCTGAAAAAGCAGCTATGATGTCAAACGCTTCTGCTCCATTCCCACTTTCCTGCCCCAGAGCCCCATGAAAAGTATGGGGTCGGCTTGTCCCCTTCAGAGAGGAGCAAAATGGGCAGCAGTAAGGAGGACCAAGGCTAGACTCTCAGGGGGACTTCCCTTCACTCTGGTCGAGACTCACCTTCTTCAGGGACCGCCAAGGGTAGTGTTTTGGCTCAGGGAGAAGGACCCCAGGGCTGAAGAGGAAAGGCGCTGGGCTCGAGGGTGAGGCTGGGGCCGGAGCCAGAGCCGGGTCTGCGGCTGAGATCCATGGATCTGGATCCGAGAATGGAGAGGCAGCAAAGGACCCTGAGAGGCCTGCAGGCAGCAAGCCAGGCGGGGAGAAACAAGGCTGCATGGGAAGGAGGACCCTGGAGGCCCCAGCCCCCCGGGTGCAAGAGGACAGAGCCAGGGCGTGAAACCCAAGTGGCGGGAGCTGGTTGTCTGGACTCCTGTATCTAAGGGCAGAAGTGCTAGGGACCCAGAATTTTACATTCTGAAGAAAGGCAGGAATCTCCTCCTCAGTCACCGAGGGGTGTGGTAGCTGAGGATCACAGATTCCTGGGGTTTTGCTGGGACAGGGATGGGACCAGCACTCCTGGTTCTTGGGGAGAAAGAAGCTGAAAGCCACATCCTGAGATTTGTATGTGTGCCAAGTGTGGGGTGTGGGATGCCTGTCTTCTCCAAAGAAACAGGATCTGGATCCATGCATTTCATTGGAGTGGGAAAAGCCCAAGAGCAGGAAGAAAAGCTCCTAGGGGTGGGGCAGCCAGGGATCTGTACTCCTGGGTCCTGGGGAAGGACAGGATGGGATTGCAATGTACCCTGAGGCATAGGGGCTGAGTCTCGGGAACCGAAACAAGATGTGTGGCAGCTGCACTCCAGGGTGCCCCAAGGGAGTAGGGCCACCATCCCCTCCCTTTCAGGGCCCACACTTACTCGTGTCCTGATAGCGTCTGTGGATCCGAAGCTGGAGGACTGTGGAGGAAGGTGGGAGGAGAAAGGCGGGAAGGGAGTGTCCAAGAGCCTGGCCTGGCAGGCGAGTGTGAGCTGCAGTTGTTGGCGGGACACGTGTGCCCAGCCCCCTTACACACCCCGTGAAGGCGGGTGGGCGGGCAGCCTGCTCCCTTCCAGGGCCTCCTGCTTGTTCCCTGCCAGCACAGCGCCGAAGGCCAGAGCCGTTCTGGGGCCAGGAGTCAGCCAGCGGAGCAGGCAGGAGGCAGCCCTGCCCCCAACTCCTCCACCTGCCCCCTTCGTCAGCCGATGCCCACCCCATCCTCCGCCCAATCACCATCTTAGTGTTTGTACCTCGCCCCCTTTCATCCCCGCACCCCGTTTTGCACACGCCCACTCCCTTCTGCACTACCTCTGGGCCTCCCCTCAGTCGCCCCCTTTGCACACCCACCTTCAAACACGCATTTCCCTGGCCTCTATTTTTGCATCTACAGCACTTCTGTGCACTGGTACCCTTTGCCACTCTTCATCCTAGGCTCACTATCGGCACACACCCAGCCACGTTAACGCATTCAGAATTTGCCCGCCAGTTGTGGAGCAAGGATCTCTCTTTGCACATTTCTTTGTACACGTGCACTCTTTTGCACACTCCTTGCTCTTTGGTTACTGGTGTCTTCGCACCCACCCAACCACAGAAGCAGACTCATTTGCACACTCAAGTACGCTCTGTCTACTCAGGACTTTACCTCCAGCTGTATCCACTTGCACACTTTTCACCTGCGCTGGGACCTGAAATGCAACCTTTGCCGCCTTCAAGGCTTGAGAACTCATTGTCCCCTTGCCCACAGTTCCACACTGGGCGCTCCTCCGATTTGCACAGGTGTCAGTTTAAGCCCCTGTTCCTTTGCAGTACCTGGTCCTCTGCACACCCACCCCTAGCCGCCCATTCCCCACTATTCACGTGAGCATTGCACCAGCCATTTGCACACTCACTGTCAACCACAACTCCACCCCTTTGCTGGGGCCTCCTTTACATAAATAATCTCTTGCACAGAAAACACATGCCTTTGGCATGTGTCACCACCCCCCTCCCATGTCACCCCGCCGTGCGGACTCCCAGACTCCCTTCCCTACGTGCACAGAGAGAAGACTCTCACCAGATCGGAACTTGGAGCGAATGATTTGGGAGCGCTGGGAGGAAGCCGCCAGGGTCATTGCCAAGGCTGGGATGGGCACCTGGACTGGCAGGGAGAGCAGGCCCCCCACAGGAGGCAGGGTCAGAGTGGAGGTCAGGCGTCCCTTGCATGTGAACGCAGCAGGGAAAGGGCCTGAGGAACTTAGAGATGGGAGCGGCCTTGGGCCATAACTTCTGGATCCTGGGGGAGGAGGGGGCTGGGTGCCCAGACTCCTGGGTGTGAGGGAGGACGCGCTGAGGGCCCCAACTCCTGGAGTCTGGGGGAGGAAGGACCTCAGATCTGGGACTCCTGGGTCCTAAGAAGGAGGGCACTGGTGGCCTGGATCCCGGGTCTATGAAAGGAGAGGGAGGAAAAGGGGGTGAAGGGAAGGAGCTCAATACTCTAAGGGGCCTAGAATCCAACAGCCTTGATCAAGAGGGGAAAGGGGACCCGATAGGTCCCTGGGGAATGGAAGGGTCTCTGCCACCTGCACTTGAGAAGGGCGTGGGTGGGTGTCAGCCGCCACTGTCTGTGGGGAAGGGACTAGGATCAGAGAGGTGACAGAAGAGTTAAGGCGGATTCCCCTCCCACCCCCCACCCCAGGGGCTTCTCACCAGGTGGGCTCGGCTCAGCTGTGCTCTGGAGCGGGTTGAGTCCCGCAGTCAAAGCTGGAGGCGGCAGGTTCCGCCCTACCAGCCTGGGACCGCCTCGTACCCCCCTTTTGGGGGCGTGTCGGGAGCGATGGAGAGGGGCGGGGGGAGACAGGAGCCCCTCCTGGCATCATGAGAAGGGGCGGGAGCACGGACTGGGAGGGCCTGGGGCGGGGCGGAAGTCGGGGTTCCCGGCTCGCTCCTCCTCCACGTCCTGGGGCTGCGGGGTCGAAAGGGGCAGCGGCGGGAGGACTGACAGAAGCAGGTGCCAGGAGAGGGGCTCAGGGTGAGCAGCAGCGGCAGGTGGTCGTGCCCCGTCCCTATAGGCAGGTGCCACCTGTCGCTTACTTTTTCCCTGACGCAGCAGCCAGAGTCGGATTCAGGGGAGGGAAAAGTTCAAACTGGAGCCCCGAACTCCTGGGTGTGAGGGAGGAGGGGGCTGGAGACCTGAATTCCTGCGTTTGAAGAAAAAGAGGCAGAGGCTTGGACTCCTGGGCCCGAGGGAGGAGTGGGTTGCGGGCCCATACTTTCGGATGTGAGGGAAGAGGGATTCCAGAACAGGGACAAGAAACGTTGAGACTCATCAGTGTGCCCGACAGGCAGAAAGGTCCAGAAGGGGCTTGGGAACCCAGACTCCTGGGTCTGAGGGAGGAGGCTGGGGTATGGGCTATGGAAGGTCGAAAGGAGCGCTGGTTATTTCCCACTGGCAGGACTGAGGGCGTGATCTTTGGCAGAACAAGTTTAGGGCTCTGTCCTGAGGTGCGTGGGAGGCCACAGTGCTCCTGGATTGGATTACATGCAAGAGGGCAAGCTGAGGCCATGGCTATAAATATCACGGAGGATTCGGCAGGAGCCCAATGCTCCAGGCAAGGGCCCTGATGCCTTATTCCACAGAAAATCATCACTACCGCTCCCGAGTCTTAACAATAGAGGCATTGCCAATACCACAGATACCTTTATTGTTCCTGGCACTCAAATTCCCAAACCCATCTTCCCACGGTCCCATCCTCTACTACCCCAAAACTCAAACTCCCAGCATTCCACGCGGGGAAAAACTACAACTCCCAGAAAGCTCTGCGCTCAGACAGGCTCTAGACTCTAGAGAGGCCGATGAATTTTCAAGGTTCGCGCGCTCGTTTGCTATTGGTTTTCAAGGAGGCGTGGCCACAGGAGGTCCGTGGCGGTGATTGGCCGGCAGTTCCTGCTGCTCAAGATCCCAGAGGAGGCGGCGGAGCCTGCGCAGTTCACGGTGCAGGGCGTCGTCCGTCACCGGACCGGTGAGGCTGAGGCGCGAGCTGCCCAAGGGCAGGATGAGGGGAGGATGGGAGGAGAAGCTTTCGAAGATGTCCCCTATGAGACCGAAGAAGTCGGAGTTAAATTCTGAAAATGGGCGTGAGGCAGCAGTGTCGGGGATAGCCGAGACTGCGTCACGCCCGAAGAAAGGAAAAAAACCCCGGCAACTACTGGAGCAGGGTCCCCTCAAACGCGACTCTTGGGAGTCCCCAAGCATCGTGGGAGCTGTAGTTCAGACTATGAAAGGCCACCGTTGCCTGGGAAACGGGCGATATAGTTGGGTTCTTGGGTCCATTAGGGAGGAAGGACTGGGAACTTCGTTGTACAGATTCCTTAGAGTGGAGGGGCCTGGAACTCGGCCCCCTAGGTGAGGAGGAAAGAGGGAAAGAGGGGGAAAGAGGCTGGGGACCTGAACCGCTGCGAAAAGAATAAGGAGCTGGGGGCTTGAACTCCTGTATCCTGGGGGAGAATACTGTATCCTGGGATCCAGCACTTAGATCCCGGGGCAGGAGAGGGATAGGGGTCCAGAATCTTGGACCAGGAGGAAGGAGTTGGGGCTATGGATCCCTAGGTCCTGAGGACAGAAGAAAGCTGACAGCCCCAATGCCTCCGTCCCTATTTCTCCTCACCTGTGTCCACAGCATCTCGCTCTGCAGGGGGAGGATCCCAGGCAGGTGGAGGCCCGCGGCCAGGACCCAGCTGGTAGTGGCTGAGCAGATGGTGGAGCTGAGCAGGGGTCAGCGTGGGGTGGTCAGTTCGTAGGCTGCTCCATGAAGCCTGGTGGGAAGATGAGGTGAAAAATCCACGATCATTATGGGGCAGCTGAGAAATCCTAAGTGGAAGGCCCTCCATAGAAGAGGGCATGGATGTAGTGGGTAGACAGTGATGTCTGTGCAATGTCTTCCAGGTACTGTGAGACATGGTTGTCACCAAAGTGATAGTGGGAAAGGGCATACTCTCAGCTTTAAAAAAGAAAAATGTGATTTGCTTTGGAATACATGAGTAGGTAGGAGTAGGCAGGGGTGGAGAAGAAACAAAACTGACCATTAGTTTATGTTACTGTGTGCATAGGTGTTCATTATTCTACTGTGGCTACTTTTTGTAACTGTTTGAAAATTTCTGTACCTAACCTAGATCTAGGCAACAGAATCATCACTGTGGTTAAAACAAGAAACTCAACCCAGATTGCCTGGGTTCAAAAGTCCCAGGCTACTCATTACCTTCTCGCAAACCCTGTGCCTCAGTTTCCTCACCTGTAAATTGGGGGAGAACAGGAACTACCTAACAGGGTTGTTAGGACGATTTAATATGGCAAGATTGTAAAGTACACAGAACTCTGACTGGTGCTTATTAAATGCTCTGTAAAAGTTTGATAAATAAAAGTAAATAAATGAAATCAAGTGACCTAGCCTGCCTGATTCTCAGTTTCTTTGTCTGAACAAAATTGTCAATTAATAACCTACTTCACGAGGCTTAGTCAGCATTCAGTGAGAAGGGCTAAACAGAGTATCTGGCATGTAGTTTACGTTCAATGAATGTTTTAAACGTCACATTCCTTGGTCCCATACCAGACTTCCTGAATCAGCATGTCTGAGGGAGGGGACCCTGGAAACTATTATTAATAAGTCCAACTGGGATTCAGATGCAGCCAAGCTTGGACATTTATGTGGCTGGCTTCCTTCTAGCTGCTGATGCCTCACCCATGGTGTCTGAACTGGGACTGGGGATAACATGGAGTCCAAGGGGAGATCCAAGGGTAAGCTGAATACAGAGGATGGATGAGTGGGATTGGGGACTCAGAGGTCAGGGGTCAGGAGTCACCTTGAGCAGGGAGGTGCGAGGCACACAGAGCAGGTTCACAGCTATGGAGAGTTTCCGGAAGAACTCAGTGGCAATGTCACCCAGCCCAGCCCCCTGCAGCCAGTCCAAGACAAGGTCCAGGTTGGTTCGGATTTGGACAGCTCGGGACCATTGATAGAAAGGTCGGCCTTGACCTGTGGGGGAAGGGTGTGAGAAGCAATGGGTGCACGGACTCTGCCCTCCTGCCTCCCAGACCTTTCCTATTCTTCAGCTTGGGATCTGGAGCTTCCTCTCCAGAGTCCCTAAAGATGAGGCCTGAGCCTCTGATGTGTCTTAACTGATGCAGGTCTCAGTGGCTCCTGTCTCTGCTTCCCGGACCCTTTCCAGACCAACCCTCACCTCGTTCCATCAGCGAGTTGAGAAGGGATGCATTGGAGAAGAAGAACAAGTAGCCGAAAGTCTGAGACACAAGGTCCGGGTGCAGCTCGCACTGGCTGGTCAGTTCCAGGGCAGCTTGAAACACGCCCAGGGTAGGTCTCAACCCTGGAGGCATGGCCCCCAGCTCGGCTCCAGGCCCCGGCAGCTCTGCCCCAGCTGTGAAAGGGTTACTATCCAGGAGAGCAGGCAGCGTTGAATACAGAGTCTGAGGGAACACAGAGATGCAAACAAGGGATCGGACTACAACTCCCTGGAAGCTTCAGGGTAGTAGAGTATGAAGGTACTGGGGAGCTCCACCAAAGGCTTCTGGGAATTGTAGTCCATTCTACCTTCAAATCCCAAAGGTCTCCATGAGCAAAATCCTACTTTCCAGATAGGTTCCTAGCATTCATCAGGCCTGGGATACCTCAAGTTTAAGAAAGGCTTTCCAGAAGTGTCTTGGGTATTTTAAGACCACCTCTGATGTAGTTCTCAACAGAGACAGCTCAAGGAGGACAAAGGACATTGAAAAAAGAGGCTCCCTTCAATCAAAGAATTATTTATCCAGAATTCCCGAAGGAAAGGAAAAGAATGGAGAGTCAGGAAGTGGGAGTGGGGTGGCAGGTAGCCAGTGGAAAGTGAGATCAGGCCAAGGACAGGAAATGAGGTCAGAGCCAAAGAAGAAATAAAACCACACTTGGCAGGGATGTACAGGAAGTGAAGCCTAGGAGGAAAGGGCTTCACAAATCAAGGCTGCTCAAGGAACATAG